TTTTCTTCTGGGCTGGACAAGCAGCTGGCCTGACTGGTCTTCATGGGTCCCTGTATCCCAGGCAGGGGCAGCGCTGGCAGGAATGGATGGGCTCTGAGCGTCCCCCAGGAGGGGGCTCTGGCAGTGCACTGCAGTGCAGAGCTCTGCCTGCTGCTCAAGGATGCCTCTGCTGCCTCATGTGACATTAAATTTTTTCCCTTTGTGTGGGAGTGGGGGTGGCAGTGAGGGTCCTTTAATTATTTTCTGCAGATCCGTTCACCACTGGAGGAGGCATTTTGAGCGCTACAAATGACTTCCGCAGCAATCACGCCTATTATGCGTCATGCTCACAAAACCCTCAACTGCAATACAATTCTTCTACCTCAGTTACAGTAAGCTGCACCTAAGGAAGAAGCATAGCTGCAGTCAGCCCCACAGAAAAAGAAATCTTGAACTCCAGAGACAAATTCAATTATTCACAAAGAGAGCCTTTTCAGAAATGCTAGTGTGCGAGCTCTTCCTGCCAGAGGCGAGGATGATTACCCTTGCAGACTGGTGTCCTCTAAACATTGCTTAAAGAAAGCGCTGCTCCCCAGTGAAAAAGAGATGGAGACTTTGAAGCAGGAATTTCATTAAAGAGTAAACTAACCTTTCAGGTTCACTTGGCACAGAAACCGCCACTTTGTCATTGTGTTTTGGTTTTGAACTTCTTTGAAAACTGTACTAATGACTCTGTAGCTGGCAGGCAACTTTGGCCACGAGGTCTCACGGGGTGTGTGGGGGTGTGCGGATGACTGGGTGGCACAGGCTAAGGGGGCAGCACGGCAGGGGACAGGGCACTGCGGTGGCAGTGGGATCCCCACCAGGCTTTTTCAGTGACACCCTGCTTCCTCCTTCTCCCCATCCTTAGCTCCTGTGCCTCTAGCCCGCTTGCAGCACTGTCTCTGCTGCATGGGGAGGAGAGGGGAAGGGCGTTTCTCACTCTACTTCCTTCTCCTCCTCCTCCTCTCTCACAGCTACATGCGCATGTCCACATGCTGTGTTTGACATAACGCAGCCCCAGTTTCAGCTGGGCTGTTTAAGCAGCATGGCAAGGCATACGCGCTTCCCTGTCAACAGCAATTTTTCCATCTGAAAGGTGTTTAAAGATCTGAATGGACATTTCATCCCTTCTTCCTCACTGACAGCTTGGAGTACGCTCAGCCCTGGCCACCTCCCTGCTCTGGCCCAGCCTGCCCTGGCACCAGGGCTGCTCCATCGCCTTCGCCCCCAGCTCCGCCGTCAACACCAGCAGAATTCAAGACAGCCCTATCTACAAACATTTCATTTGCCATTAAGTCCTGCAGACATTTTGGGGCCAAATCCAACTGGATGACAGCTCTTTAATGATGCCTTTTGCTCATCCCACTTGTAAATATTGCTTTCTTCACTTTGTAAACAGGGAACAGCAGTCTCGCCCAAGACTACAAGTCAAAATGAATGGATAGGCAAGGACTACTGGCCTTAAATCCTCTCTTCTTGCTGTCTGTGGGAAAAATCTCTTCATGACCACTCCGTGTTTACAAAGCCTTTCAGATAAGGCAACAGGGCACCTTTTGGGAAAGCAGGAGGATCACAGGGAGTGATCTAGTGCTGTGTTCCTCTGTGTGTACACCTCAGACTCTCCATTTCTGTGATATAAGAAAGGGACTGCCAAAGCTGGCAGTAGTTTTTCTAATTAGAAGGCCTAA